TGGTCGATGAGGTAATGGGGAAACATACAGCACATCCATCATTGCTCTGGAGTACAGTGACCACTCCTAAAACCCCAACAAACAGGTGTGAAATCACAACAGAATAATCTCCCCTCCAACTGGAACCCAACAAGCTCTTCCATAGCACAATCTCCTGTATCAAATGCAACACTACAGCTGAATCTGTGCATTCAACATGAAAACTCAACTCCCACCCCAAGACAGCATATTATCAAGAACAGTACAAATAAAATGTTTACCCAGACTTACCCCCCTGCTTCCACTTACTTTCCACTGCTCTCCACTCAGTAGATAATCTTGTTGATAATTCTATTCAAATTGTTTATGCATCATTGATTCCAGTGCTCCATATAAAGTGAAATTTGTCTCTGGGAAGATGAAATCTGTACGGAGAAAGGCTCCAAGAGCAAGAAAAGAAAAAAGGGGGAATGCCAAAAACCTTAATTAAGTTGGTGAAATAATGGACTTTACTATGAAATTTATAAAGATAAACCTAACAGATATAACTTACAACTAAAAGATATAAGAGCATCTTTCTTCCCTGAGATTATCAATGAAAACAAAAATACTCGCAGCTTATTTGCCAACAAACCCTCTGTGGCCTATACAATCTCAATCCCAGCTTGTTACATTTTGTCGCTTAGTCAAGTCTCCTACACGTCAGATACTGAGATGACGGGATACCCCTGTCATCAGTAACTGCTGCGCAGAGTTCATGCCAGGCTGTATCAGGAACTTGAAAATATTTTTCAATGAGCTGTGAAGTAAAAACTTACCACTAACCTATCATCCCTTAACCTAACCCCTCATCCTAAAGAAACAGTACTATACATGTTACCATACACTCCTAAAGCTACCTAAGTAAGTTTATAGGGCAACGTTTTTTTGTTTGGGGTCCTGTGATACACTGTCCACAACCTGTCATTTACCCTGCATGTCACAGACTGATGCGAGGGGTACCCTCTGCGTCAATATGTGACGACTTGGGAATGAGAACAATGTGTATGGCCGATAAACTCCAATCTAAGAAGGCCTGCAATGACTTTGCAATGTTTACTGAGAAAATACAAGTTATTAGAAAAGCAGTCTACACATCAAGGCCAACTTCAGTAACAATACTGTCTCCAGTTAAAATAAACTGTCCCAATTCAGCCAAACAAACTGCAAACGTTCAGAAGAAACTGTTTAGCAACTAAGCTCCTCTTCCTGAAGGCTTGATGTTTTACTCACATGTTTTATTAAAAAGGTTTTTTTCCTGTTTTAGGTGCTGATTTGATTCAAATCATAAACACATCCCTTATTTTGGGTGCTGTCCCCTAGGCCTTAAAAACAGCAATTATCAAGTTGTTGTTGCAAAAGAGAAACGTGGACAAATTCAGCCTGCAAAACTGGAGGCCAATCTTAAACTTCCCATTTATCTGTAAGCTTAGTGAAAAAAAGTTGTATTTTAACTGTTAAATGCTTTCTTAATCATTTCAAGCTGCCTTAAAGTCTTTCAGTCAGGATTCTGTGTCAAGCACTGTACAGAGACTGCTCTGATTAAGGTGTTCAATGACATCTATATAAATTCATACTCTGAAAGAACCACGGGGCACATGAGGGGTTCCTCAAGGCTCCATTATGGGCCCCCTTTTATTCAACATCTCCATGGTTGCCTTAGCTCAGATTATAGCAAACAACAAGATCAGTAACCATAACTATGCAGATGACACACAGCTTTACATTACAATGTCCTCAGGTAACTATGAACCCATCAGTGTGTTGACTAGATGCTTTGAACAGATCGTATGCGCATGCACCATCATTTTCTACAATTAGAAGACTAACGTCCAAGCACTGCCAATAACTGCCTCTGACCCTTGAGGTTAAACAGTTAACTGAGGTTGAAGTTAACTGAGGTTTGTTGAGACTTGTTTTATTTGTTTTACTGTCTGCTTTTATGATGTTTTATCTTTATTTGCTTTTACTCTGCTTTTATTTTTCTTCTATTTTTTTTGTCTAATTTATTTAAAACACTTTGAATGGTCCCTACAAATAAGCTTGCCTTGCCTTGCCTTACCCACTTTGGCATGAGACTTTTGTTGCTTCTTGCATGTTTAGTGTTTTTCAGGTTACCTGAAACTTTAGTACTACTTCACCTAGGGCTACTCATTTTTTTTTGTTTTCATCCACTCCTTACTGAATTTACTGGTATGTTTTGAGTCATTGTCATGTTGCAGAATTTAGTTCTGCTTCAGCTTTTAGATAGTTTTACATATCTCACATTTTCCTCAAGAAAGTTACTTTTGTGCATTCTGTTTCCTTCTAGTTGATTAACCACACACATTCATATTTAAAGGAGAATGAAATGGCTATACGGTAGGCCTTGTTAGAGAATTTTAGGAATTTCTTGGCCTTTTTTTTTGGAGACTTCTGTCGTGACACAGGACAAAAGGACCCAGTATTAAGGGCGAGACAGACAGTGGCATAATTCAAAGCATTTATTTAAAAACAGATCGGACTGTGGATCTGCATTATCAGTGGCCAGGGCAGGGCACCGTCCCTCACTGGAAAACTCTGGTTGGAGAAAAAACACAGATTAGGGGCCAAGATAATCTGACAAAGGATAATTATGTATATGAGTCACTAACCTGGTAATACAATTCAGTCCATCTCCAGAAAATGAGGTAGGATCCAGCCTTTGAGCTGTCAACAAGATGCAAGGGGTGCCGCCAAGTGTGTCCCAGTTGCAGGAGAGGACAAGCAGGAGTCCAAGAAATCAGGAACACTATGGAACACCTTCTTCACTGAGACCAGGCAGGAACAGGGCATGCTCAGTGGATAAGAGGCAGGTCAGAATCAGGATATCAGGAACACTACGGAACACAAAAAAAAAAGGTCTCTTTACTGGCCCCTGAGAATGAGCACTAGAACGAGAGCATCAGCATCACCAACAATAATCTGGCCCTGATAGCTGGGACTGAGCTGCATACTGTATATAGAAGCAGGAGCAGGTTGATTAGATGAGCAGAAATTGGAAACCCAATCATTTTAACCCCCAAAACAGTTCAGGGGTTAATCTCCCAGTGTCTGACAGCAGGAGATGCAGACACAGAATTAGCCCGAAACAATCCAGAATCTCCATGCATGCCAGACTGGAGCAGAAAGAAAACAAAAAAATAAAACACTGTTAAAACTCAGAACTACCCTGTCTGTCTACCAATGGGTGCTTATTTGGCCAGATTATTCTGTCATAAGCTCAGAACACAGGAGCCAGAACTCAGTGGAGACAAACAGTGAAATACTTAAAGGCGTTTATTGTTAATACAAGAGCGGGCTGTGGATCTTCTTAATCCTTTACCAGACTTTTTAGCTGCTACAATATTCTGTCTTGCCAGAACTTTCAATCCCTCAATGACATTCAATCTTTCTTCAACAGTCCAGAGCGTGCCAAGCTAAATGTCTTGGGAAAAATAGGACAATGTTCGGTGTCTGTAGCTGATGTGTTACAACTGTGTGTGAATTAAACAATTTTAAGTATTAATAAATGTGGGTGTGCCAAAAACAAAAATCTGAGAGGAATTTCTTATTTATAATTTTTATTCAGTGAATATATGCAATGTTTTTGTCATTTTAAATTACAACTCAACCTAAAGTGAATGAACCTGGACTTTTCCTTTGTTTTCAATTAAGCTCATATTCAAAAACTGAATTGAGATGAGTGACAACCTTTGCTAATGCATTATCTTTCTGTTGGACAGTGCCGGGATGCAAAGGACACTGGGACAAAATAACCTGCTGGGACCGAGCTGAATTTGGAGAAACTGTCACTATCCCTTGTCCTCGAGCCCTCAAGATTCTATTCGGCAGAAATGGTGATTTATGATTCATTTTGACTATTAATTTGTTATATTATTATGACCTGAATTGTTTCCTTGTGTTTCTCTTTAGATCAACACAACTAAATTAAATATGTTGCTTGAAAACAACTCAAAAACAAACAGAAACAATGTCAAAGTGATAAGAAACCAGCAATAAGTTTAGATGAGTCAAAGGATATGGTAAGCCTTTTTTCAAGCAGAGGATGAATTACCCAATAACAGCTTTTGGAGTTGGCGGTGAAAGACTTATGATTTTATCTTGCATATAAGGAGTGGTTCTTATTCCCCGCTGCCACACTTCACACAGCAATTAAAAGATGACTAACAACATACAGGAGATATCACCTGATGGCATACTGAGGAGATAATGCAGTCTCTGGAATCAGGTGCGCTGAAGCAGAGACACATCTGAAACATAAGGGAGAATGGGACTGCATGAGGACCTGATTAGAGAACCATTGTTAGACATAGAGGGCTATTGATTCTGCAACGTTTAAGTCCAACTGTGTAGACCAATCATTTAAAATTTGAGCCCATTTGTCCTAAAAAAATAGAAATAGAAAGTTTAAACTTTCTATTACTAAAACTGGGCCATCAGTGGGACAAGAATACAAAAATAGTAGCAAATCATTGCCTTGGACCTTCAGAGGACTGGGCAGAAGGAGATTCCTGCAAACTTTAATACACTAACAGAGCAAGAAGAGAAAGCCAAAGTTTATCAGAATTATGCAGTTTTACGGAGTGCACTTACTTCATTTTCATTGGAGCATAACCTTTATTTATAAAAGAAATTGTGTAATAAGATGTATTTTTGTAAAATTGAAATCAAATACTTTTTATATTTTGTTGTATATTCTTGAAATAGGTTCTACATTTTTTTACCCAAAGCAGCACTGTGTTTGCATCAATTTTCTTTAAAGGATTCCAATCCCTTTGAGTACCACTTATTATGTAAGTAAATGTAACTGATCAGTTAACCTCCAAGGATGTAAATGAGACAGATGTCATATCTGTAGCGAAATCTCAAAGTAACTTACCTAAATAGTGTTATTTTTTTGATCAATTTATTTGTCTAATCCATTTTCTAAGAAAAAATTGATACATTTTAAAGGAATAATGTAACAGCTGTCTTTGTCTTCATCACTACAGTTCATGATGCAAGTGTGACTTTATTTCTGAAATTTCCCACAGGCATTAGTTTGTCAGTGTTTTATGTATGTATGTTGTTAAATGTATGTGTATAGATTACTGTCAGAGCAGTTAGAAAAGCAAACAGTCCTTTAGGAAGTAGGTTACGTTCAGCTTTGATGCTCTGCTGCTCAGCAGACACTCTGTCCTTTATGTCCCATGATTCACCCTCACTTTTCGCCTCATCTGTGTGACTCTGTGTGCTGTTAGTGGATTCCCTCCTGAATCCACATCACATTTTTTCCTGCCGGTGACCGGACAACAGTTTGGGTTTCCGCTTCATTTTCCAAATTGATGACTGAACATTAGTAAGCACCTAGCGGCTCACTGACACTTCGCTCTGTGGGGCAGATCCTAACCAGCAAAGTCAGTGTGTTTTACTAATGCATTTATAAAAACTTCATGTTTTTACAGTGTTCAAAATGAGGTAGTCTCCCTAAAAAAACAGAATCTAAAATCTGTCTTTATACTTTTTCATTTATTTTTCATTGTTGTTTTAAATTTAGAAAAAAATATCTTACTATTTCAAGAGCTATTGTGTCAAACATGCATTTATTCAGCTAAATTGATTATAAATGGAAATATGAACTGTCCGTACAGTAATACAACGGAGAAACCACCACATTGTTAAAGGAAGAAAGTTTTTAACTTGTGCAATATAACATGACACCAAGCTGTCTCACTTACTCTAGGGGCAGCATTTTTTATGCACTGGCTATTGTTTGGATTTGAAAATCCTTGTTAATAGAACAATAACTACTGTAGTCTTTTTGTGACTGTATGAAGCTGCAAACTAGGAGGCACCACATACAGTACGTCCCGAGGAATAGATGTGGCAGTTAAGCTCCATAATATTCAAACTGATTACAGATTTATGTGGGAATTATCTTCTATACTCGCTAACCATGTTTTTATAAATAGAAATGAATAATTTTTGGATTTGTCACATCACAGAATCTGTGGAGAAAGTGGTTTATGGAGAGGAGGCCTTCCAACCACAAAGATCTGGGGTCTCATTAATAAAATATTGCACGGTATCTATAAAAAAAAGAGTGTATATATGTCAAATATCCAAAAATTTTACACACGAAAAACCTTTACTGTAGGAATAGAAAATCATCTCAAGAACAAAATAATTCAAATGATAACATTTGCAGGGAAGTTAGCGTACCCAAGTTTTAGGCCCTGTTATGTTTATATCTAAGGTTCAGAAATGAGACCACTAGAGTTAATAAGAATAAATTACTAAAATGTCAGTCAAAACTGTTCTTTTAATGTAAATTTTAAAAAAATAAAAACCAATTGCCCTTTTGAGTGAAGCCTTTCTCATTTTCAATCACGCTGAAACATAAAAATACCTTAGCTATGAATGATTTTTGTCTTTATGTTCTGATTTAACATCACAAAGTTAAAGCTTGCTTAACATTAGAAAGGAGGAGCTTTGCTACAGAAAATAAGGGCTTATGTTATTTTAGACAATGGTTACATTTCCTTGTCTTTCTTGGAATACTGCCTTCTTACATTTGAGGATTTAGTTCCTTGTTACCTTTATTGAAAAGCTTTCTCATTAAAGTGTACCAGGGATTGGTTGCTTTACTTTAACTTTTTTCCATTCTTAAACTAATTTTTTCCTTCTCTACTAAATCCAACATCAAACAAAACTGTTTCCCCCCCCCCCTTCCCCTAACCCTGAAGTTCCTGAGAACTCAACTGTTCTGCAGCATTGCATCCACTGAAATAATCTCCAAGCTTCATCTGAGTTTAGCCTGCAGGATAACAGTGGAGAGGGTTTGTTAGGGGCACATTAAGGGCAGAAGTGTGGTTTCTTCCACTCGGCAGGCTAGTGAAGCTTTGAGCCTCTTGCAGTGCATTCTGGGCATCTCCAATGGGAGCTGAACTCCCAGTGCACTGCAGTGAACTTGGCAGTGAAAATGTCCCTCAGCAGTTCACAGTTTACTGAACATGGCACTTATTTATAAACACAATTAAGCTGCTTTTCTTCTGCAGAATCTAAATGGGATGATTAGTACCGGTAATTTTCCAAAACTTGTGAGACATTCACTGTCCTGTATACATGGCAAAAGGGAAACTGTTATTGTAGTATTGCTATTTTTGAACGTGCCGTTTATAAGCTCTACAAAATTAGAACCAGCCTCCAGGTCACAGTCAGCTTTCTTTATAGTTGTTGTAGCTTCTTTGAGTCCCATATGCTGTGATGCTGATGCCGAAAAGCCTGTGACAAACACATGCTATATCCTCTATAATGTTTTATGCCATTATAGAGCAGTCAACAGTAGCAATCCTAGATATTTTAGTCGTTGTATTTTGCATTAAGCCTTCTTTATACAGGATCAAGGCCTCCCTTTAGTTTAATTCAGCTCCATTCCCACTAAAATGTAACGGGATCGTGAAGTTTCTTAAAACCTCCTTTAGTGTAACAAAGATCCTGGCACCACTTCACTTTTAGTACCACGCATTTAGCTGTTCTTCAAATTTTATGGCAAGTGTAGTTCAGTGGGTATTGTAACTGCACTAGGAACCCCTACAATTAAAGAAATAATGTTTTATTTTCTGCCACCATCAATTTTAGCCAAATTGTAAACCTAAACAGCCATTCGGTTGTAACAGAATACCACAGGGAGCCCTTAAAGCGATCTTGAAGGATTTTGTCCTTCAATGTCCCTTTGATGGTGTCTTTGCGAAGCACATTATCATGACCCTACCTTGGTTTGCAGGGCTTTGGTTACGTGGGTCATATTTCTACTTTTTCAACAATCTGCACATCACAGAATGTTATCTGTTGCATTCATACAAGTTCATAAGATTTAATGGGGGATCTTTCCACTTGCTTAGCTTCTAGTTTTGCTAATTACACAATTTACCTTTTCACTGATGACCTCTCAAAATAAATTTCTTTAGACAGTGAAAATATTTCTCTGCTATAGTTTATCTATGTTTTATTTTGTATTCACCACACCGTTCTCTGGCTCCAAGGCTTCCTCCTTCATTATATCCATTATCACACCCAGAACTCCTGTTTGAACTGGTTTGAACTGCTTTTCCATTAATTCTAAGATATTAAATTGTTTTCGTTTAGCAGCAATGCACCTGATAATTTCTCAAGGAATACTTTTAGCTCACATGTGCAGTTTAGCGCTCGTTATTTGAGAATAGATCGGGCCCTTAGTCTCATAGAATTTAATGAACTTCAGAGACCGATAACAATGAGGTGAGGAGAAAAAGGATGAGCTGAGGATCTGATGAATACTACTAGCAAAATGACTAACACTTTAAGTAGGACAGAAAACAGCTGCAAATGTCAGAACAAATGGGGAAACGCAGGTGCAGAGAATTATCTGCTACTCCAAAATTAAAAATATATGGCAAGGTCCAACATGCAAAACTATTGATAGATTTGCCAGTAACTGTGCATAGTGAATTATTCTATGGTATCCATTAAATATATTTTAGGAAGATGATATTTTATTAATGCAACAAGATATTTACAGTTGATGTAATGAAATCAAAATCCAGAATTTCATTTGAAATGTTTGTTGGAAAAGATATGAAATGGTAATTTTTTTATATATATCTAATCAAACTGTGAAGAGAAGAACACAGCTTTCATATTTTTTTTTGTCTTATTACTGACACTTTAAAATTTCTTTTTTTTACTATATATTTAAGGTAGAATGAATGGAGGAAAATATAAGGGAGAGCTAAATGCAATTTATATTGAGTCCTGGCTTCCCAATTCACTGAAAAAGTGAAATGTTTGCAAAGGAAAAGATTTTCTTTCATGTATCTCAGCTGTCTTGTGATGCAATGCATCCTGCCATGTTCACAAATATAATGTGGTGTATGAAGCAAAATCTTGTGCTTTAACATCCATCAGTGTTGTGTAGTTTCATACTACAGGCTGTATTACACTCAGCTTGTAAATGTCATGCAGTAAGGTCTGTGTTTCGTTACAAATTCTTAGTAGAATGCCTGACTTCATGGAAGACCTTTTCCTCTTGATGTGTGTGACTCCTTATGTTACAGTGAGTGCTTTGATGAAATATCTCATGTGTATGATGGAATAACAGAGCCCCAGATAGTGCTGGAACTTTACATATCAGCCCTGTGGCAGAAAGAACTTTGTATTTTTAACCAAACTTGTGTCTTTTATGCTAAATGTCAGGGCTACTCAGATAAGAGGTGACAGTGAGTTCATTCAATCTGAGTGTAGCAGTTGTATAAGTTAATCACACTGAGAAGAACAGGCAGTAAAAGGCTTTTTTGAAAAAGAAATTGAAGAAAAATTCCAAATGAATTGATGTAATTAGATTGACTCCATTTCCCGACTCTGGATGCGTTATGTTTCTCCCCCTTTGTGACTCTGAGTTTTTAATTTTCTTTTATCAGTTGTTCTGTTTTCTTCTTTGGTTTATTTTCCATTATATCAGTCTTTAGTTACTCTCTGTTGTTTAGTTACTCTCCATGTGCTTGTTTCCTTCTTGTCAGTTCCATTCACACCTGCTCCTTATTCAGCTCATTAGTCCATTCTTTGTTCTGTTCCCCTTAAATACTCCACCTCTGCAGTCACTCAGTGCTGGTTTGTTGTGTTGATTGTTATTTCCTCTTCTCTGGCTCCCCACATAAGTTTTACCCTTGAAGGTTTTTGGTTCTTTATACTTTGTATATTTTGGATGTCGGCCTCAGTTACCCAATTAAATCAATCAGAACTCATCTCTGCTTCATTCATCTCTGCTTCATTAATCTCAGTCACCTCCTGGACTAGCAGCTTGCCCCAAGTGCAAAAAGACTAAAATCAGTCCTCATGTCCACACCACCAGCAGCCAGAGCTCCTCATCTCGAGGAGTCTCAATTATAGGATTTCTTTTATGGAGAATTGAATACCTTTTCCCTTTCCTACCCTCTCCAGCAGCATCCAGCCAGCCAGCTTTTCCAGGGCCCCTCTGTAGGCCAGTCCCCATGCCAGAGTCCTTTAGCCGACCAGAGCCCTTTAGTGGGCCAGTCCCAGAGCTCTTTAGCGGGCCAGTTTCCGAGCCAGAGCCCCCTAGCATGCTAGTCCCCGAACTAGAGCCTATTAGCTGTCCAGAGCTCATTAGAGGGCCAGTCCCCGAGCCAGAACCCATTACTGAACCAGTCCTTCCTTTTCCTCAGTTAGCTTCCCCCAGTGTCCTAGCCACACAGCGAGCTCCACCCATTGTCCTAGCTCCACCATCTGAACCCGTTAGCGTCTCCACACCCCAGTCAGAACCCCTTAGCATCTCCACACCCTAGTCAGAACCCGTTAGCATCTCCACACTCAAGTCAGAACCCGTTAGCGTCTCCACACTCCAGTCAGAACCTGTTAGCATCTCCAGACTCCAGTCAGAACCTGTTAGCATCTCCACACTCCAGTCAGAACCTGTTAGCGTCTCCACTGCCCAGTCAGGACCCTATAGTGATCCACCACAGTTAGATCCTCTCTATGAGCAAGCTCTGTGCCATCCAGAGATCCCTAAACCCCAAGAAGGACCAAAAGGCAAGACTGAGAACTCTTAAGAGCTCCAAGGTGGTGAAACCTCCAAGGCCCCTCAGCAGGGGCTCCACACCTCCAAGGCCCCTCACGGCCATCCTCCGGAAGTCCTCCTTCGTCACCAGCCTCACGGCTGTCCTCCGGAGACTCTGCCTCCCCTCTGGTCACAGGGCCGTCCTCCAGAGACTCTGCCCACTTTTTGTTTCCTGCATCGTTTTTTGTTTGTTTGTTTGTTGTTTTTTGGTTTTTGTTTTTGCATTTGGGTCCTCAAGCAACCTCACCACTCATTGTTGACAGGATGATGAAATCATATTGTTGTATTGTCTTTTAGCAAAATAATTAAATGTCCAGAGTATGATAAATTTCTTAAGGTGTTTCTATGACAAAACCATTTTACCTTCTATGCAGATTTTATGCAGCATATTTCCATTTTCTTGCAAAATGTTACAATGCTTTTTTTTGTATATTTTTGCACTGAATTCTCAAAAATTGCAAACAAAATCTAATCCTTTAAAGTACTCATACCATTGTCTTTTTTTTCTAATATCAGTGGATGTCTGTTTAGGCATTAGCCTTGTGTAACTTCATACACATTATAAATATATGGCACCTTTTCTGGTATAAACATATAGTCAGAGGGAAAGTAATTTTTGTGTTTTTTGTGTGTGTTTTTTTTTTTCTTTTTACAGTGACTCATTGAAATTTTCTCAATCTTTTCCTCCCTAGGTAACATCAGCAGGAACTGCACAGTTGCCGGCTGGTCGGATGTTTTCCCAAACATAACCAGCGTCTGTGGGATTGACACAAGCCAGGAGAAGGTAACATTCTTTTTCTGGGGATGTTTTACCCTTGAATAAAAGAAAAGACATTCCCACCTCAGCTCAAATGGAGCCAGACTGTAATTGTGACAGGAAGCTGTAACATCATCCAGACCATTAGTGGTCTCAAATCGACATACCCTGCAGGGTTAGTTGTTAATTAACACCGGTTAGTGGTAGGAAACCGGATCGTTAAAAGGTCAATATACCCGACCGTAGTGTGATACATGTGAGCAATATGTGATTGTTCACGCTTGCGGTGTCAGTTGGGTTTTAACATCAATAAATAAAACCATTTGCTGTCGCTAATGCATCAAATTGTTCTTAAGTTGTTTTATTTCATACTGTTGGATACTGATTGGCAAGACAGACCTAGTCTAATATTATAGATCTTTGTCAATTTTTAATCAACAATTGGGAGAAGTTCCTCAAATGTATTGTTGTATGCAAAAAAGAAACTTTGTTTTCTTTTCTGCAGTTGTTAGCAACAGCTTGTTAGAGGAAACAGTATAGTCTATATATTCTAAGATAAAGTTTTAAACAGAAGATGCATTTAATGCTTTAGACATTTCATTAACATGGTATTCATCCTTAACCCTACATGATCTTTAACTTTTCTGTAGAAGAGAGAGTGAAAAGGCTGTGGCAAAAATGATGTCATTTTAAATGCAGTTGACCACTATGCTATCAAATGTTTTTCCCTGCTGAGTTATCTGTTAATAAGTCCTGCAAATCCACCTTTCTACAACCACAGCATTCATTAGTGATGATCCTAACATGTGTGCCGGTGATGGAGTTAGGCTCTAGCACATCAACACCAGAGATTTCCCAATGATGACCTTCAAATTGCTTTCCTGAACTCTATTCTTTCTTGTTCTGACCTGTGATTCATCTCCTGGAACTGAGGTAAATTACTTTGTTTCTGACTCGGACTTTTAAATATTAAACCTTGTCATCTTGGAGGTCTTCTTCTCCCTTGTCTCAACTATCTTGACCTCTGGAGCCACCATCAGAGACATCTCCATAGTTACCATTATGGGTCATAGTGGGTCACATATTCAACCTAATGGCATTGAGGTCCTTGAGGGAGTCAATGTCAACCTACTTTATCAAAGTACTTCTCTCATATTTCCAAGGATGTCAAGGTCATCTGGGCTGTACTACTCACTTTAATCTATAAATTAAGGTCCAGCTGTGGCTGAGAAGAAGCCTTTTTCTCCATCATTAAATAATCCATGTTTCTGGTGACATTCCTGAACTCTCTGCCTCAAGCCACTCTACAAAGTCCCTGGACTGGATACCAAATATCCAAGATGAGAAGATGCATATTGCTTCCTATTTGCTATGGTTATGCAACATTAATGGTATTGGGGAGAATAATTTGGAGTCAGGAGGTTTATGCCTTCATGTAGATGTACTTTAGGTATTTCCCCAAAATCAGAACGCATTGTCGACATCATGAGATTCAGAGCTCAGTTTGAATTTCTAAAAGAAAGAGACAATGCTACAACCATTTAGAACATATACAGTCCCATCTAAACTGACTGGACCTTGAGGACATAATGCACCGATTATTAAGTGGGTTTGACCAGAGACAGGAATCTTAAGGTTGTAGGACACTCAAAGACTGCTATTGCTTCACTTTATGTGCAACACTAGATTAAAAACAGCTAAAAACTACATTTGAATGAATTCAACTTAAAAAACACAGTAGAAGATGTGATTACCATTGCCTGGGGTTAAAAGAAGTTTCCTTATTTGGTTCTTCTGTGGTTTGGTTTACATTTCTAGTGTGCGTGGGCTCATAAGTGGTTACAGATTTGTTGTCCTCTTCACTTAATTAATCTCCTTAAAGATTGTTCTACAGTCTTAATTGTTTTGTTCATCTTTGTATTTTTTTTAGCATCCATCTTTCTCCCACTCTCTGCAGAACTACATGGATGTGTGGGTGGATTAAAGAAAATATCTGGTAGTACAGTAACAGCTTTAAACTTTTGGGAAATACTGTCAGGGTCTGCATCACTTTTACTACTTAATCTGAGTGAGTGTCCAGCTTTTTTAAATTTGTATGCTATGTGCCTCTAGATGCAACAGATGTTCAATGAAGCATTATATTTGTCTAATTTCAATTAACTCAGTGTAGTTGGTTTTCAGTCTGGATAGTCTTGAAACTTGTATGCAGGTGAAGATACTCCCCAGTCTGCTGGTGAAGATTCTCAGTTCATAGTCATTCCAAAAAAGTTAAAAAGTTAAATTGAAAAAGCTTAATGGATTGGAAGTGAAATGTCTTAACTTGGAAACAAACATCAGTGGATTGTTTTCTTAACTTTTTTGGAATACTCTCGAGTCAAATCACTCAAGTTTATTATAAATGGCACTATTTCAAAATAGATTTAAACTCACTTTTTTATTTATGAATATAAGTTCATCTTATGGGTTGTTTTTCATTCCATTCCATTCTAAGATGGCTATAGGACAATGCAGACAAGTTTTTTCTGCACATCCTGTAGGTCCGATGCCATGGGATTTTGGTTTAAAAGAGCTACCAACTTTGTTCCTTCATAACACGAGCTCCGATACCCCCTGATCTCCAGTCTGCAACATTCTCTGGTGCTAAAAGTGCTGTTTTTCTTTTTCTTTAACATCCCCAGTCCTGTCTTTGGCCATTTTGCAACACTGACGTCTTTCGAATTCCACTTTTGGTGCTTTTGGTGTGTTGAGGGCAAACTGCTTGCTTCTATATATCCACTGGCAGTTTAGTACATCACATGGAAGTATCTACAACATATATATAAGTATTCTAGCATTATTTCCTCTCACAAGACTTTTTTTGGTATCTAATGACAACATATTATAAAACTCCTTTTTAATGGGGTGAAATCTCCAGCAGATACACTGTGCTTTATCCGGGGAAGAAACACAGCTTAACTTGTAAGCTCTTAACCAGATGTGAAAACTTTTGAATGAAGAGAAGAAGAGAGTTGCAGATGTGGCAATAGCTGTTATTTTGTAAAATAAAGATGCAAGGGTAAACACAAAATAGTAAAGTGTATTATCTATGCAAAGAAAACATTGTTAATGGCGGCATTTGTTTATCCAATTAGGGATTACATGTGAGAAGCATAAAGAGAATAATTTTTCTCTCTTAATTTCCATTTGAACTCTCTCTGGAGCATTTTGATCAAGCTCAATGCATTTACAATGAAATAAGCTTTTATTTAAACACAGTTCAATAAAAAGTGAAATAAAAATTCTCAGGCAATTAGCCTGATAAAGTAATCTCCTCTGGAGATTTTTCCAAGTGCATTCCAAAGGAAGGCTCCAGGATAGACCCTACATCTTCTATTACCCTATCCTAATATGTGCTTATGCTTATAATACTGTGAATTTACAGTGATGCTTGTGGTGTGGAGCCCAGGAAGAATATTTTATACTATCATAGGGTCTCATGGGGATCCTAAGATAAACTAAACTTAACCAAACCCAGCTTGAGGTATCAAGCTGCAGAATGTGTTTAGAAATGCTGTCAGGTAGGAGGATGTCTGGGATACTTCCAGAACATTTCACCAAACATGGCTTTATGAAGATAAAGATGGGAGGCTGAAAATGTGATTGCATTTTAAAGTATGGCACATAATTTTCTCCTTAAATGAATCAATATTTTCAGTATTGAAAAATATCCTTCCACTGACTAATCAAATGTTAAGATATGAATTTAGCATCTGATTAAAAAGCACTTTTGCAATCTTGTACTCTTTCATGATGTGAAAGGGGAACCCGACATGTAAACAGTGACTGACAACACAGACAGCAGTCAGGAACTGGATGTTTCTGCTGATATATGTGCGGTGGCTGAATGCCATTTTTTTTTTCTTGCATGCTGTTTTTTTTAATGTTTGTTTGTTTCGTTGATGTTGGATTTTTACTTCCATTTCAGTGATTGCACCATTTTATTTTTCTACAGCATTTTACTGTTGCATTTGTTTTATTGTGCTTGTGTGTTTTGGAATTTGCATCATATGATGACACAGCTTGTTTCCTCTTTTAATGCACATTTGCAACTGTTGGCCCCAGCAGGGTAACACAGCAAAGCAGCAGGGATGTAATGAATGTTTTTAAGACTGGAAGAAACTACCTGGTTTGTAACCTTAGATACTACAGTGAAGCAATTATTTCAAAGTGTATTTACTCCTTTAACTTAAAGTCTATGCTTTATTATTTTGTTTAATTAAAAACAAAAAATGTGTGCTATTAAAATAAAGCTTCAAAAGTGTGTGAAAGTGTTCCAGCATATATAATATAGACCGGGGTCACCAACGCGGCGCCCGCGGGCACCAAGGGGCCCTCAAGGATCATATGGGGTGCCCTCAACGCCTTTTGAAAACAGCAACTAAGCAGTGGGCTAAGTTTGAAATTTTATTTTATTCTGTGACTGTTCTTTTAAATAATTTATAGAGCATTTCATCTTAGTAATCATATAGGGCATTTTAGCATTTATAGAGATTTTAAAATTATAATGTTTAAAGGAAAATTAGAAATTAAAAGTTAACAATAAAAATGTGTTTAATTTGGTTGAAGTTTAGGTGAACGCTGACCCGTCTTGTTCATAGGTCAGTATTGTTAGCCCTTCCTATGATTCAATAGCCATGAAGTAGCCCTCAGCCTTGAAATGATTGGTGACCCCTGATATGGACATACTATTATCATACTTTATAATAGTGTACAGTAGTCACCATTCCAAATTTCCCCAATTTCCTTGATGGGCCCCTGGCTGTCCCTTGGCCGGTCCCCTACAATTACTTTTTAGGCATCAATATTTGTTCTAAAATATTCTTTCTGCTATGATTTGTGGACATTAAGATCTAAAGAGAAGCACTTTCTCTTGGTCAGACCCTGTAATTCAGTGAAAGGGTGGAGTCAGAATAAAAAAATATGCACGCACAGAAGAAGGAGGTGTTCACTACAGTGGCTTGAAGTCGGTGGGGATTTTGCTGGGAGTT